TTGGTTTAATTTGGCAAATGGGCAGTTTAAAAGAAGCTTTTAATTGCAACTTTGGAAATCATCCCTGTCCAGAGCAGGAAGGAATTTATATAAGTAAATTCAAAGTATGATCATTTCATTCATTACTTGGGCATAGTTCAGGCTAGTAAAAATGTGATAATTTTCTGGCAGTGTTAAATCATTTACAGGGTAGAATTTGAAAATTAGCAGAACTTTAGAAGTTATTTGACTGTGTTTCCACTTAATAGAGATGACAGAACACACCTAGGCAGGCAGATGACTTGCTTAGAATCACATGACTAATCACGGCTCTGTAGTCAAGGACAAACTTTACTTCTGGCCTAGTGGCTTAGCCCTTTTGCCTCCTTTTCAAGTAGTCCTCAGTGAATGATAACGCCTTAGGGAGCAGAGGTGGAATATCTAACAAATGTGTGAAAGAAACCAGCATTAAATAATCAGCAGTGTGTTAAGTGCCTGACATGTACCCAAAAGCATATTATGCACTGAAGTTAAAATAGGGATACAAAACCAGATTTTTGGAGAGAGAAGTATTAAAGAGAAGGATGGCTTCACAAAAGAAATGTCATCTGGCTTTTGCCAATAGGATAAAGATGGAAGTGTGTCCCAGAGAGATGTAGCAACATGTGCAGAGGCACAAGAGATATTCTAGCAAAAGGTCTCTAGAAACTTACGTAGACCTTTCATTATTTACTTGTTTACTTTTGTTTGTTTCAAGACACAGCCTTGTGCTGTAGCATAGGCTGACCTGAAACTTCATACAGTTCTTCTGCCTCCGCATCCCTGGTTGTCGGATCACTGGTGTCGGTACCACCATGCCCAGTTCACACAAGGTTTAGAAACAGCATCAGTACTTTCTGAGTTATGAAGTTTTCACTATGACGTTGGGCAAATCTGAATGCTACAGATATAGTATGATCCAGGACATAAAGAATAGAGCAGAAATACTTTTTCCCTGTGCCTTCCGCCCCTTTCTCCAGCTTCCTGTGGATACAAGATAGCTGGACCCAACAGCTCAGAGGGTCTTCAGTACCCCCGGACCTTACTTGCTTAATCCCATCTCAAGAATAATCACCATGACCAGGGAAAGGAATCCACTGACTAGGGCTTTTTGTGCTTTGTCACAAAAGGAGGAGCTTGTGGCCAGGCATGGTGGGACACACCTATACTTCCAGTACTCAGAAGGATGAGGCAGGAGGATCACTGCAAGTTTGAAGCCAACGTGCACTACAAAGTGAGGTCAAAGGCAACCTGAGCTGCATAGTGAAACCTTGTCTCAAAAGACCAAAAAAATTGAGTACAGAAGAGCCAAAAGGCATAAATATTCACTATGCAGAACAATTTCAGAACCAAAATTCATAGTCTTAAATTACATAATCTAAAATTCTGAGTAAAAAATAAAAATGTTCTGTTTCGGGGCTGGGGATTTAGCTCAGCGGCATAAGCACCTGCCTTGCAAGCAGGTAGTCGTGAGTTTGATCCCTGGTACTGATAAAAATGAAAAAGACAAAAAAAGAAAAAAAAATATTCTGTTTCTGGTTCTTGATTTAAGAGGAAAATTTTTAAATAAGTATAGCATAATGCAAATGAAAATTCATCCATTTCTAACTTCCTTTGGGAGAAGAGTTTCCCACACTACTTTCATGTACTGAGATGAATAACATTCAAAAAAAGAAGAAGAAGAACAGGGAAAAGTATTCAGTGTATATGAAGAGTAGGTTGCATATGAGGCTTGAATTATAGTTATAATGGAAATAATGTTAAATTACCCATCATGAAGGACCACTGGGAAATGCTTGATTCAAAATTGCCTTTGTAGAACATGAGAAGAGTTCATACCCTCAGATTGGTGATTTTGTTTAAAGTGTGCCCTCTTTGTCTGAAGTGGCAATGAAGTAATTACCTCCATACAGTGCTTTTTGCATCCACAGCAATGTGAATTTCCTGCATTCGCCAACATCAGACCCCAGATTGTAACTGAAGATATTAATAGTATTTTAATTAGAGAAAGCAAAAAAAATGAAATTTGTGAAAATGAACTTGATATGAGTAAAATATTTGCTGCTATCGTATATAATTAGATGCTTGTACTAGCTATTCAAAGGAAAATAAAAATGAGTTATTTTGTTGGGGTTTTTTGTTGTTATTGTTTTGTTTGTTTTGGGAGTACCGGGGATTGAACACAGGGCCTTTGCACTGAGCTAGGTCCTCAGCTGTTTTGATTGTGATTCATTTTGGTGTGTGTGTGTATTTTGAGACACAGTCTCCCTGAGTTGCTAAATTGCCCAGACTGGGAATTTCTGATCTTTCTTCCTTAGTCTCTCATAATGCTAAGGTTACTGACCTGTGCCACCACACCCTCTGTCATTGTCCTTTCTGAAATACATTACTAAAGTAATGGTGAAACTTTGTTTACATGGAGTCTTGAGAATAAATCATTTTTCAATAATAGACTCGCACATGGCCTAATTTCCAAATATTCGGTCAGTTTTTTTCCTGCTGTATAAACTTTGGTGCAAATATATTTTATATGTCTTTACCTTCTTAAAGCAAATGAAAATCTACTTTTTCTTTGATTTAGGTAATTATGGGCATCATTTATTGCACTCTGTGTAGTACAGAAAATTACAGAGTTGCGTAAAATCAGAAAGTGCTCTAAGATCTTTTGTATGTATCTTTTTTTAAAAGCCCCCCTCTCTCTAATACCTGTTACAATAGCCTCTTTGCAATGCTATCAAATTTGTTTAAATTTTTTTTTATTTTTTTTTAACTTTTTTTTTATCAGTACCAGGGATCGAACTCACAACTGCCTGCTTGCAAGGCAGGTGCTTATGCCGCTGAGCTAAATCCCCAGCCCCCTGTTTAATTTTTTTTTAAGATGATCTCACTCTGCAGTTAAGGCTAGCCTTAAACTCACTTTGATCCTCCTGCCTCAGCCTCCCAAGTCTTAGGATTACAGGCATGTATTACCATGCCAGGCTTACTATCAGATTTTTAAAACACAATATTTCTTCATGCATTGTATATAACTGGATACATAGGCTCCAAATACTAATGGTAGACCTGAGATAATAAATACTGCTGGTTGTATGAATGTTGTAATATTTGCTGAGCTATTAAACATACCCTATTTTATAATCTTCCAAAGAGAGGCATCCAGAAGGAAATTCAGGTTGCCATTTGCCAAATACAGTTACCAGGTCTTAACATTTAAGAACCTGATGTTACTGCAATAAAAATACATGTCAGGTTATAAATCCTCCCTTTGCTAACCCATAATCTGGCAAAGAGTCATGCCATTTGCTGTCACCTCAAAAAGAAACGCAGTTGTCAGTGAACCCTTCACTTCTGCAGACACACCTGTGTATAGCCCGCCTCTCACTGGTCTTTGCTGAACAAAAAGTTTAAGGAAATGAAAAGCACTTCATCACAACTCAGTGCAGCCCAGAGCCCTGTTATCTGCATATGATAAAATCCTGGTTATTCAGTAACTTTTAATCTAAAACTAAGATTATTATTTCAGTATTGCTCTAATATAAATCTTCATCTCTTATTCTTAGGGCTTCTCAAAAATGTCAGGTAAACAGAGCTGTTTGGTATTTTGAAATGGAAATATTATTTTCCTATCTTCCCCCACTACCAATTTGTTTTCTAAAAATCTCATTAAAAATACATACAGAGCTGGACATGGTGGCACACTGCTGTAATACCAGAGCTCAGAAGGCTAAGGCAGGAAGGTGGTTCTTTCAGGCCTGCTTGGGCTACATAGTGAATTCCAAGCCAACCTAAACTAAATAGCCAGACCTTCTGTCGAGTAAATAGACAAACAGACAAATCACCTATTAAGTCATGCACTAAGTTAGTACTTCTGTAGGTCTGAACAGCCAACACTGGGAAGTGAGCTGATCATCTTTGGTTTCCTATGGAAAGCTATGGTTTTTACAATTTTCTCCTATACCCTATTTCTTTGGACAGCAGGTCATGTCTCCCCATTCCTCTATTGATGAAATTGAATTTATTCTTTGTTTCTCTTTTGCTTGATGTTTCTTTTTCTTTTCTGCAACTAGAAATGCTTGTATGTTGGTGGGGATTTAGCTCAGTGGCATAAGCGCCTGCCTTGCAAGCAGGCAGTCGTGAGTTTGATCCCTGGTACCTATAAAAACGAAAAAGACAAAAAAAAAAAAGAAATGCTTGTATGTTTGCCTACTGGCCTGAGAATATCTAGGGATAGTTTCCTGGAGTTTGTTTTGCTAAAGCAAAAGATTATGTACTGTTAACATTTTGATATATGTTGTCAAACAACCCTCCAAAAAATGAGAGCAAATTTATAAGCCTGTTGCCAATGTAGGAAGGTTCATTTTGCCTACGTCTTCAACAACATAGTCTCTTGATCTATTGGTCTAGAGAGCATGAGCTATAAGTAATAAATCTCAAGGGTATCTTACATTATCTTTGATTTATCCCTTCTACGGATAGCCTTCAAAAATAGGTGCTTTTAATATTTTCTTTTTATTGCTTCCAAACCTATTCGAGTATAGAGTGCGCCATCAAAACAAGACAATCTCTCCTCTGGTATTGCAGGCATGAACCATCTTTTAAGAAAATTATTTTATCATTCATTGCCAAATATTTCTCTTCTTAAATATTTTTATATGACCTGTCAAGTCAGAATTTTCACTTGAGACATTTGCCATTTCAAGTTGGAGTTCATGGGGCAGCTATTGAACCTCTGATGCCCTTTGCTAAAATTTATATCATGTGATCACTATTTTTTATTCTGGTACTGAGAATTGAACTGAGTACCTAGTACAGGTAAGCATGTGCTAGCAGCCGGCCATGCATGCAATCACTTTTGAAATACGCCTTGATTTCTACTGAGCAACTAGGGCTAATTATAATGGTAATTGAATGAGTCATAAAAGACTTTATTAATCCAAACAGAATTGATGAAATGTTTATTTATATTTATTGCTTGCTTACAGGTGGATTCACCGATGAACTTGAAGCATCCCCATGACTTAGTCATATTAATGAGACAAGAAACCACAGTTAACTACCTCAAAGAATTAGAGGTGAGACAACTGGGCATATGCCCTGCAGCTAAAACTGTTGTTACAGCTTAGTGGAGCTATTATTATGTTCTAGGAAGGAGTACAACATACCATTTCTTAAGCCTGATTCTTCTGAATTTTGTAGGAATATGCTATCTTTAAATGACATTTTGGTTTTTTTAAACTAGCTTAGCAAAGTGATTTTTAAGCAATAATAAGACTGACTAACCTAGTGTAGGTATATGCCTGACTTATCATTTGTTTATCCCTTTTTTTTGAGACAGGATCTTGTTATGCAGTTCAGGCGGGCCTTAAATCTACTCAAACTCATAGTGATCCTCTTGCCTCATCCTCCCAAGTGCTAGGATTTCAGACATGAAATTAAAGAGAATTTGTGTATTTGTTTTTCCATCCAGTATAAAGGGGATATTGTAAAGAACAATATGAAGCAGAGACCACTCAGTAGGCTTTTGTGAAAACAGCAAGGCATACAGTTTAATACCTGGGTACAGGCAGACAGAGGGTGAGAAGGCCGCCAATAGGGAACAAAAAGAGGCAGAGTTCCTTACAGGGCTTGAAAGAAGACACGGGACACTAGGTGGGAAAACCTTGTAATTATCAATAGAGTTCTGTAAATGTCCCATGCCTCAGTGGGCAGAGTCCTCAAAGCATCTGCCGTAAACGTTTGGGTGTCTTCAGATGTCCCAGTGCTTGGAAGATTCCATGCTCACCATTCCATGTTGGCCGAGAACTGTCCTGGTACAGAGCTGTGTCTTCACTGCAAACAATGCTGCTGCTGACAGACAGCTTGGGTGCTAGCAGAGTCATGCCTGAATCGAGCCTGACAGATATAATCTATGATGATATTCTTAGAAGAATAATTGGTAAAATAGGAAAAGAAAAGAAGTTTTAATAACCAAAACATTGTAGCTTATGTTCATTTGCAAGTAATGAAAACTAGGTTCTTGCTGTGGTTGAAGTAAAATGTCTCAATCACATTGTACCTTGAAAGCTTGACACTTACAAGTGTAATAAAAGCTGTTCAATAAATGAATCAAGCATCTGTTTTATCTTTTTATTCCGAATCCCTGTCTCCTGTTAGAGAAGATTCTCTGACTTCATTACGTTCTCCTTTGTCACCAGTGTTCTGCAGAGTGAAATAAGAATCCATTCAGTTCCTATTTTCTTTTCAACAGAAGCAGTTAGTTGCTCAAAAAATTCACATAGAGGAGAATGAGGACAGAGACACAGGACTGGAACAGAGACATAATAAAGAGGACCCAGACTGCATCAAAGCCAAGGTGCCCTTAGGGGACCTGGATCTGTATGATGGAACATACATAACTTTGGAGAGCAAAGACATCAGGTGAAGAACTTTTCTTCTGAAAATAAAGTTGTTTTTCTAAACAATCTTTCTCTGGTCTGGTTTCTGTAATAAGAATAAGGCCTATTCACAGGTGAGTTTATTGAAATTTCAAAGTTCAAACCAGATGCTATATATAGAGTTCTTATAAATCAACTAAGACTATTTAATACCACTGTAGCAAGTTGAGCTATTTTTAGTAAAATATAAATCACCAGTAAACAGAGAGGAAAACATTTCTTAAATGCTGTTGGAACAGTGGTTTTCATCTGCCCCATTGGAAAAAGTATTTAAAACTCAGTAACTATAAAATGTAAAGAGGCTGTAATTGGAAGTCTAAATTGGTTTAACATTTCTAGGAAAAATTTAGCAATCTTACACTGTATCCATTTTGAAAACTGTGGTCTTAGCATTCTGTGAGCTACTGGTGTTTTCTAATTCTTGACTTACTTCTTTAATTTGAATTCCCAAAATATTGAGCTCCTTACACAGCTGTGTGAAAAGGTATGAATGTTGATTAATATCAGTTGTAAAGTTAAGATGCTATGAGAATATGAGGAAAATTTAGCATTTCTTAAAGTACTGTTTATGATACCTTTCATTCATTTCTTGCTTCTCCTTGATTTTAGCCCTGAAGATTATATAGATGCAGAATCTCCCGTCCCTCCAGACCCCGAGCAACCTGACTGCACTAAAATTCTAGAACTTCCGTATAGTATACATGCTTTCCAGCACTTGCGAGTAAGTGGAGAACTTTACAGATTTCTGTTTTACTTAGCTTTACTTTGTTGCATTTTCCTTTTCTTTGGTCTCTTGCTTATAAAAACTGTTTTTTTTTTTTTTCTTCTTCCAAACAGCTTTATAATTTGGCAGACCTATCCTACTTCTTAAAATGCCTTCAGAATAAATGCTACAAGATATGGAATTACTTGTGATGTTTTGTGTCCTACCATCTCCTTTCACCTTGTTTTTCAATCTTTTTCTTTTCAAGGGTGTACAAGAGAGAGTCAATCTTTCTGCCCCTCTATTGCCTAAAGAAGATCCAATCTTCACGTATTTATCTAAGCGACTAGGAAGAAGTATAGATGACATAGGTCACCTCATTCATGAGGGCCTGCAGAAGGTAAGTCATCAGTGACTTAGAGAGCTGGAGGCTCTGTGCAAGCAGAAAATGTTTTTCTCTCAAAAAATATCTTTTTTTGCCAGGCATGGTGGCACACGACTGTAATGCTGCACATGTCACACTTGGGAGGTTGAGGCAAGAGGATTGCCATGAGGCCTGGCTGGACTACATAGTGAATTCAAGGCCAGCCTGGACTACATAGCAAGACCCTGTCTCAAAAAAAAAAAAAAAACCTTTCCATTGTAATGTTGAGGCACACTATGTTTCAAACATGAATAGGCTAATTTCCTTTATCAAGAGGAGATACAAAGTTTTATCAAAATAATTTTAAAAACAAACTATATACACACACACACACACACAACAAGGTTTAATAGTCTGGATTCTATAGATTGAGTGTGGAAGAAAATTTAACAGTCATGTGTCTGTACATAATACATAGATTATAACTGTTCTCTGAACCAGAAAAAGAATCACCACTGGCAATAAAATCTTCTGTAATTTTTTTTTTTAAGGAAAAATCTATTTTAAAAATCTGAAGTAGAGAACTGGGCATGGTAGCACATAGCTGTAATCTCAGCTGCTTGAGGGGCTGAGGCAGCAAGACCATATGAACCTAAACGTTTGAGAGCAGCATGAACAACATAGGGAGATCCTCATCTCAGGGGAAAAAAAAGAAAAGGAAAGAAAGTAAAGTAAAAGAAATAGGAGATTATGTAGCAAGAACGTAAATGTATTGTTCAAGATAATGTGGGAATTTAGAAAACAATTTTTGCTCTTCTGCATGCATAACGCGTTTCATAAAATGCATGGTATATTTTCTAAGTAGTATTATAGCCATGTTAAATAAAATGCTTGTAACATTTACGTTGTTTATTCAAGTACATATCTCTCTATCTCAAAAGAAATTTTTAGATAGAAGTAAGAAAATAGTTTGATTTTTAAATGTATCCTATGATTATTTTTGAGGCTAAATTATCGTCTTCCTGAAGGTAGTGTAAACCATTCGCGTGGCAGAACTTGATGCAGGAGAGCACAGTGATTCTGTGTGTTCTCAGAGCCTCCCTGTGTTAAGGAGCTTGGTTGAAACCATCCAGACTCCGGCATTAGCAGGTTTTACTGAGAAATCATCAGCGTGTAGTGATGAACTCAATCTCTAGCCTTTCTCCTTCTCTGGAGATTGTGGTGAGTAGAACATTCAGCTCTGACCAGGGCTTTGTTTTCCTGGGACCAGCACTTTTGCTAAAACCACCTGGGTTCCCAGCCAGCTCATCACCTTACCATACAAAAAACACTCCTGTCACTCCTGGATTCCAGTGGTTTCAGAAGTTATGTGTCAGGAACTGACAACAAAAACAAACATGTATTTTTCCATGCCATAGACTGAGCAGTCTGATCAACAGAAATATTTTTTCTGTAGTGGTGAAGGCCAAGAAATCCGAGATTATGAAGCCCTCGGTTCGCCTCCTCTTGGAGGCTGACTTCCTGGCTTTCAGATAATTCCTTCTCACTGTGTCCTCTCGTGGTCTGCTCTCTGGGCACGTGCATGAAATGTGTGAAGAGAGAGAAGAGAGGATTTGTCACTTCCCCTCTTCTGAGAGTACCTGCTCTACTGGACTTAGCCCCTGCTGCTTCTGACCTCACTTAGCCCTCATCCCCTCCTCAGCGCCATAAACTTGGGGACACAGAGATTCATTCAGTCCATTGCTGCTGTACTATAACAAATTCCGGCCAGTGTGACTGAGCCTGGTGAGCAAGAGGGAGGACGATAAGGAGTGAACCCAGAGAATAGACCAGTGCTAAGAACCAGTGTAAGGATTTTGGATTTTGTTCTAGATACGCTGAGAAGCTGGAGCAGAGGAGTGCTGCAATTTAATTTAATAGTTTTTAAAAGATCACTGTGATTACGTACGGGAAAATAACTGCAGGTTACTGCAGGTCATGAAGGTATGTTTAGGAGTTTCAAAGCTTGTAAGTCACAGTCAGAGGAGAAGACAAGGATAACTAGCTTAACTTCTGACCTGGGCAACCTGAAGTAGGAGCAGGGTTTGGAGGATGAATTTGAAATTCCTGTGGGGGTTTACGATTCTGGTAGAGAATTAGGATTCTGGTCAGATAGAGAGTGATTGTTAGATGGGGACTGTCCAGAGCCCTGCATGCGTAGAGTGAGTCTGCAGGAGGATGAGGTTTCCGAGTAGCCTGTTTCAGATCTAAGGGCCTCCCACCTGTGGCTCTCAAGCAAGCAAAAAAGACAAAACAGTGTCTCAAAAAATGTAGCTCCCTAAGAGCTGAGGAAAAGTGTTTCAAGAAAACAGAGAGTCATTTACAGTAACATCAGACCATGTAAAGGTTTGGGGAGATTTTATAAGCAATCCTATAGAAAGACTTTTCTTTTTTTTTTTTTTTTATTGGTACTGGGAATCAAACTCATGACTGTCTGCTTGCAAGGCAGGTGCTTATGCCGCTGAGCTAAATCCCCAGCCCCAGAAAGACTTTTCTTTAAATATGTATTTTTCCCTTGTCTCCAGGTACTATGATATGTGGAATACTCTCCTATTACAATCTAAGAGTTCACATAGAATCTTTAATTGAACTCTTTGCTGCAGTTTATGTTATATAATCTGAATATGAAAGCTAAAAGTAAAAGCATTTGTCAATTTGAGGGTAAAACATGATCTCAGTAAAACTACCAGTAAGAAGACAAAACCTGCCACAAGTCAGAGATGAAGGCAGGTGCTGTGTCTTCAGCAACCACAAGGAGCAGAAGTCCACAGCTGAACTAAAATCTGTGATTGCATTAGCTGAGAAATCATATACCTAAACATGGAATAAATAATGCAGGGTGCTCTTATTCAATCTTAAAAATGTTTTTAAAATAAAAATTTGACCCATTATCTTTCTTTTGTTTCTTTATGTTTAGATTTATAAAGATACTAAACCTGACTGTCATGTACAGGATATACCAAAAACATGTACATATCATAAAAAGAAAAATTTCTATAAATATTTTAATGCTAACTTTATTAAAACATCATGAGATTAATACAAATTACCTTTGGCCTCTACAATTACAAGAGGCACTCAAAGTGGTGACCATTAGCTTCCACACATGTATTCATACAGTGAATTGCCATTTTTTGGCAGACTCTGTATATTGCAAATATGTTTCCCAGTTTATTTTAAACTTTATGGTTTTCTTTTCACCTAAGCAGAAGTCTGAAGCTTTGTCTACTTGGGTTTAAACTGAGTTTGGGGACTTTTGGGAGGCAGGAGGGTAGTACTGGTACTATCAGTTGAACCCAGGGCCGTTTACATAGTAGGCAAGTCCTTTCCCACTATCCCTAGCCCTTTTTATTTTTATTTTAAGGCACAATTTCACTGAATTGCGCAGGCTGGACGCAAATTTGCAGTCTTCCTGCCTCCGCCTCCCAGGTAGCTGAGATTACAGGTGTGCACCACCTCTCCCAGCTATATTTTGACCTTTAGATGATCAAAGTTCAAAATCTGATAGAGGACAAAAAGTCCGAGCCACAAAGGGAGAAGTGTATCTGAACTTTCTGTTTCACTTGGCTCAATAATACACTTAATTACCGTATACTTAACATTTAGTTGTTAACAGTTTGAAGGTAACAGATTCTAAATACCCATAAGAAAATGCCAAATAAAAATTCATCTTTCACCAAAGCATAACCCTACTTGCTAACATTTCTGCCTTCTTTCAAGTATTATGTAAGTAGAAATTTTTGTAAAACATTAATTTCATATTTAAGCCACCGGCGTTTCGAAATGGGTTAAGCCTTAACTTGTAAAGCCCTGAAGTAGGGTCCAACAGGTTGTGCTACATGATGAGTTTTTCAGCTGTTTCCTCCTCGAAGGGCATCTGAAGCTGGATAACCTCTCTGCAGGTTTGTACCTCTGGGTGCTCAGTAGCATGACCAAGGGGCTCTGTGGACAAAGACAGTTTATTCATACTTCTGCTTTATGATGACTGTAACTAGTCTCATACTTCTTCATCTTAAGTTTCAAAAGAGGCGGAATATTAATACTGTTCATTTTGATCCTTTTCAGTTAAACTTTTTGAATTGTATCGATTGTTGTTTTGTTTAATCTCTAGAACTCTTCCTCATGGGTACTATATAACATGGCTTCATTTTACTGGAGAATAAAAAATGAACCATATCAAGTAGTGGAATGTGCCATGCGAGCGCTCCACTTCTCTTCCAGGTAAGATTTCTCTGCACCGGGACCTCCTGACTTTCCACATTTCTCAGGATGGTTAAAGACATGAGACTAAGAAAGTAGCAGCATTGTGTTATACTCACTTCCTCCTCCATCTCTTATCAACAAAATTAGTCTCATCACAAAAGTTCAAAATCATAATTGTGTAATAAATACACTTTCCAATTTCCATTAAAGAAAAATGAGTAAAAGGTATACTTACGATTCACTTGAGACTTGCATTTAAGGACCTTGACTGGAGCAATTATCATAAATTTAACTTTGTTTTTAGAACAAAACCCCTAAATGAGTTGTAAAGTCCTAAGGTTTCTGCCAGACCTTATTCTTTGTGGCAGAACATATAATTGTGAGATTGAATAAGCACCATCAGTAATTTACAAACAAAACATGATTTTTATTTCCTCTACCCAGTAACGTACTTGAAATGATTATCCTAAGCCTAGTGACCTTAAGTGTCGGGTTTCCTTGTCGGTTGATGATGCATAATCATGGTGCACATGATTCTCTCCTAACATCTACGTACATTTCTCTTTTAGGCACAATAAAGACATTGCTTTGGTCAATTTAGCGAACGTTCTACACAGAGCGCACTTCTCTGCCGATGCTGCTGTCGTGGTCCATGCTGCTCTGGATGACAGTGACTTCTTCACCAGCTACTACACACTGGGGAACATATACGCAGTAAATACTTCTGTTTGTTTCATGGGCTTTACCAGTTGTTACTTTCTGGGGATTTTGTTTTCTTCTCAAGGCGATGTTTCTGTTTTTCTTTCCTCCTTTGAACTGGACAGTGGAGATGAAATTACGGGGATCAGTCCAGTTAGTACTGATCATTAATGGTCCTAATCTCTTGACAAAAAAAGAAAACTAATTAAACTAATTGGAATTCAAACTATGCAGGAAATATCCCTTAAGTATAGAATTGTGTTCATAAAAGGGGATTTGGTCACTGGTGGAAGTAATGTTCACTGTAGAGTGAAGTGTTGGTGTGATTTCATAAATTGTTAGGGTTTTCAACAGATGCAATGAAGCCCTGACTAACCACTCTACCCGTGCGTTTGTTTTTGTCTCTTCAGATGCTTGGGGAATATAACCACTCAGTGCTTTGTTACGATCATGCCTTGCAAGCCAAACCTGGATTCGAACAAGCTATAAAAAGAAAGCATGCTGTCCTATGTCAGCAAAAACTGGAGCAGAAATTGGAGGCTCAACATAGGTAATCAGGGGAAACATTTCCCCAAGGTGCTAGCACCCTAGATCTTTAGGTGGACTTGTAGGTTACGATCACTGTTTACTTGATCATGAGAATTAAGAAAGAAACCCCTTCACTACTGCAAGTCCAATTACACTTCTCTAGATGCAAGTGTTTTTAACACAATTCAATGGTTGTATCCATTGATTCTAGGACCTAGAGAATATTTGTATTTAGTTCTCTGCAATTCCGACCATGCATTACTGTTACCAAGGTAGATAGAGGTCAGTAGGCTGCAGAACACAAAGTAATCCTGTTGATTATGTGTTTCCTTTCTTAGACTTTATTGTATCAGTAAAATCACATGTAATGCAATATTTGATCTTTTTTCTCTTTGGCTCCTAGGGTTGGACTATTAGTTAAGTGACATTAAGACACATTTGGCCCATTTTTTTAATTAGACTTGTATGTTAAATTATACAGTAATAGAATTTCTTACACTTAATCCTTGCAGTATACTTAATAAAATATGTTTGATTCCATAAATAATAGAACCAGTTAAAAAGCTTCACATAACTCAGAAGTAAATTATTCATTTCAGGATTAGCTTTAATATTTTGTGTGTATTTTGGTTATTATAGGGCTAAATACAGATTTAGAGCTCATTAAAATTTTATATTTATATATTTTCCAATCTGCTTAAGCAAATATACTAAAAAGAAAAGATAACTTGCTTATTTATGTCAGGCTTTATTATTATACCTACACAGAACTTATTCTGGTTGAGTTTCTTCCAATATTATGTTCTCAATAATTGAACTTAACTTTATTTTTACTCAGTCTTTATAGATCCGAAATTTCCATATGTTACAATGTAATAGGTGATAAGGTTTTGGTGACTTAATGTAGTGGGATAGCTGATGCATTGAAATCAGGTGGTGAAGAATATTTCTATGCAAAGTTTTTATAGTTTTTCCCAGAGTCCATAAACCAAGAAAGTAGAGTATGAAAGCAGATTACCATCGCCCCAAATCCTATTTGCCTTTAGGCAGAATCAAAAGAAAAAGCAAAAAGAGATAAGAATCCTAGGAAAGCTTTGAATGTCAGTGGAACTAATACAAGTTTTGTGGAAGGAAATGGACTTCTTAGACTTGTAAATGTTTGTAGTAGATTGTGATTTTTTTATTCATGGTGTTTATTCTTTTTTACCTTTTGTTTACTCTTTTTTTTTGGGGGGGGGTAAAGGTCTCAAACTCAGGACCATGTGCTTGCCAGGCAGGTGCTATACCACTGAGCTACGTCTCTGGCTACCTTTTTTTAAATCATAGCCTTTATTTATTTAGCCACTTATTTACTTAACAATGCTGGGAATGAAACCCCGGGCCTCATGTATACTACACATGCATCTTATCACTGAGTTATAATCCCCAGCCCTACATTTGTCTTTTAACTTAGGAAAACATAGAAGTGTACATTTTCATAGGGCACCATGTGAAGTTTCGGTACATGGACATGTTGTTATGTAATGTTAAAGTCAGAGTAACTGTATGTATTCCACAATGAAGATGTGGTGAATATTTGACAAGGTAATTTTGTTGATGACTGCATAGAAAGGGGGCATCAGAGGATCAGGTTTTGGGGGAGAAACGACATTCAGCTCAGAAACTGTGGAGGACCCACTTTGGCTGCCTCTTTAGCCCGGTCTTCCTGTCGGGCACCAGTCAGAAAACAGGGCAGTGTGATGTGCTTTTTATGGCAGCTGAAAAACTCAGTGTGCTATTTGATGTCAAGATGGTGATCTTTAAAAGAAAGGTTTTGCATTCATGTTTTGTCCTCAAGTTCAGTAAAAGAATAACACTGAACTGTATTTAGTCTTGTATGTTAAACACTCTTCGCTCATTGCTGATACAAAATACCCGACACCCAAAATTAAGGAAGGAAAGGCTTATTTAGTTCACAGTTTGTGGAGGTTTCAGTCCATAATCAGCTGGCTCCAAGGGAGGGTAGCATGGTTGAGGAGCAACAGTTTAAGGAGGTAGAAGACAGCAAAAGCACCAAGAGCAAAGAGGGGAAGAATGAACGTCTTTTCATCTCTTATATTGTATGAAGGCCACCCTCCCTTCTGGGGTGGGTGTAGCACTACACCATCTCCCTGCCCTCCTCTTGCACAGGCTCGGAATGTTTACACAGTGAGGACCCTGGTCCTCTGCTGCGTCACTTAATTAACTAAACTTCCCAAGTTGAATGTATCAACCATTACATCATGTTATTCTTGAACTTGTAGTACAGGGTTTTAGATTAAATAAAAGGAAAAAACAATTCCTGCTGAGAACCAGAAATGCTGTGCATCTAAGTAAGTTTTTAAAATTCATGATTTTAAAGATCTTTTTTTCTGCTACTGAAAAATGTGAAGATCCCTCCAGCGAACACTGAATGAGTTAAAAGAATATCAGAAGCAGCATGACCACTACCTGAGACAGCAAGAGATCCTAGAGAAGCACAAGCTAATTCAGGAGGAACAGATCTTACGAAATATTATCCACGAGACGCAGATGGCAAAAGAAGCACAGTTAGGTAAGTGGTGACTCACATAATTAAAGACAGGTCAGGTAATTTCATTGATAGCATGGCTTACCTTTGTAATTTTCACGCAGCTTTAAAGAAATACGGAGTTGCATTTATGACTTTCCTAGATCTTAAGATCAAGACTCATCATGGTTATACAAGCAGGCCTGTTGGATCCATTTGCCTTGTTTTTTTATTCACATTTACAAACAAAACCCAAGTCTTTTAGAGTTTAGGAGTCTTGTATTTCTGCAGTTTTAATCAAGAGATCTTGTTAAAATGCAAATCCTGAGGAAGAACCTGAGAGTCTGCCTTCCTAAGATGTTTGCACATCTTAAAGTTCTGGTGGCCTGAAAACCTGCCCTCCATGTGGTCATTCAAGAAATGCAAATTAAAACAACTCTGAGGTTCTATCATTCCAGAAAAAAAGGCTGTCATCAAGAAATCAACCAATAACAAATGCTGGAGGGCCTGTGGGGAAAAAGGAATCCTTCTCCACTGTTGGTGGGAGTGTAGACTGCTGTAACCACTGAAGTAATCAGTGTGGAGATTCCTCAAAACGTTAGGTTCAGAGGTTCCATTCGATCCAGCTATTCTCCTTCTGGGTATTTTCCCAGAAGAATTGAAAACATCATACCACAACGTATATGTGCACCCGTATTTGTAGCAACACAATTTGTAATAGCTAAGTCTTGAAAACAACTTAAATGCCCATCAATCACAGAGTGGATAAAGAAGATATGGTATTTTTATACAACAGAGTACTACTCAGCTATAAAGACAGACAAACTAGCGGCTTTTATAGGTAAATGGATACAACTTGAGACCATACTTATAAGTGAAATAAATCAGACTCGCAGTGTGCAAACGTCATGCTGTCTCCCTAGTGTAAAAAACTGAAAGAGTAAATAGGATCCAAAATGTACAATAGGTATTATGCAAATGAAAAGGGAAGAAACTGCTCCAAAGGAAAGAACACTGGGATGGGTGACCAGGAGAAAAGAAAGAAGTTAACAGAGTATATACACCAGACGAATAATTACACTACTAATCTCTGTTAGTTCATCAGAAATAATGGTTTGTGCTTTCATTACTTGATCCTTTATTCATGCCCGTATCTTATAATCTGAGCAACTACTTTGAAGATAACAATACCCAATATATTAACCATTGTTAATCTTTTTATGTTATTTTGAAATTCTGTAACATTGTTTTTATTGCTTTTAAAACAAAATTTAAAAAAAACTGCACTCACTGATAATGCTCTTGCCTTGCATGCACAAGGCGCCTAAATAAATAAATAAATACATTTTAAAAATAAGAACTGTCCAGTAACTGACAAGACCCTACACTGTGCAAACACAAGCCAGATACATATAGAAACAGCCCATGTGTACTCTTTGGCTAACCTGGGCAAGAAAGCTAAATACCCTTTTTGCTTTCCTTGTACTCCCAAAATCAAACACCATTTTATAAGGCTTAATAACTAGAATTCATCTCTTGTGAGAATTCTTAACGTGATCAATGGATTCATTTCAGGAGGCTCTGAAATCATTTCCAAAATTATATCTATAGTTGTTTATGAACAGTTTTTTTTTTTTTCTGGAAAATAGTAAATGGCTATTACTAAAATTTTAGTGTTTGTGACCCAGAAAATAGAATCTCTAGTGACCACAGAGGGGAACTTGGGTTGGCAGACTTGGTTGTTTCCAGAATATTTCTTTCAGATAAATCCCAAAAGGAGCAGGTCTGGCAAGTTGACACCAGAGAGCAGATTAATAGAATCTTTTAAATTGCATCCTCCTCCCTGGGTAAACACATTGGTCTCACACGCCTCTTAACCTTTGAACCTTAGCTGTGAGCATTTTATAATCTATCTTGAGTGTAAGGAATATGTTCAGTCTTTAAGATGATTTATTGCTGAGTCTATTCTAAAATATAATCAGAGCTCTTACATATAAATTTAGAGCAGAATTAGGAAATATATGGGGCACATTCTCTCCAGAGACATAGCCAAAGTCCTTTGAAACTACGTAATCGGTAGCTTTTACAGTCAGAGTATAATTGGCAGAGATACCTCAGTGATCATCTAGGGGAGCTCTTTTATTTTACAGATGGTGAAACTGAAACTCCTTTGGAATAATTGATTTCATTAGTAACAAGTGTTCCTCTATGCAAATAACCTGAATAAGGACTGCACTGGGCTCTGAGACATACAGTGCTGAAACAGAATGACTTGGACTAAGAAAAGCACACGGGCATTGCTGACCATGTTCATCATTGCATAATTTTTGTCTCATTTCAGGAAATCATCAAATATGCCGGCTGGTCAACCAGCAGCATAGTTTACATTGCCAGTGGGACCAACCTGTGCGCTACCATCGGGGCGATATCTTTGAAAACGTGGACTATGTGCAGGTCTCTTTCTTGATCCCTTCTCTACTCCTTACTAACTTTTGTATAAACAAAAGTAATACCATGTTTTCTTTCCTTGATTTCTTGTATATCTGATCCCTAAAATTTGTGTCAATTAAGTCTTTTGTATTTTTGAGTATCTGTTGCCTTTGTGAAGTTAGATTTTGTTGTGAGTACTCACCCCATGGTTCTGTCCTGTTTCTTGGAAGCACCATCTGTTAACATATGTGCATATGTATTTGATTCTTCTCACCTTTACCATGGGAACTAGAATTGAACTGTTACTATTTAATTCAAAACTTTTATCTACCTCTGAACCTATTACAGTAAACCTGTGTAACATTTGAAAGAGCTACCTCTTCCTTGAAGTCATCAGTCTGATTAATTTGCCTCAATCAAAAACAAACAATTATTATTACCTACAGAAAATGATTATTGAGCACCATTGCTAGATATGGACATTCTCTCACCTTTTAGTCTCTGTATGCAGACAAAACATGCACACACAGAGAGTATACATTTACGTACACACACACACACACACACACACACACACACACGCATATATGTACCCACACAACATACACATCTGTACATACACACACATCGTATTCTATCAAATTGGAAAGAAATAATATGTGAACTACAGTGATACAAGTTAGCATGAAACTGTTGCTGATGCTGAATATCACAGGAAATAAACACAAGAAGAATTCCAAGTCTCCTACAAAAAGGTACTGGAAATAAAACAGTATTCATACTATCTTGGGTAAAACCTGTCACACCTAATCAGAGATGCAGAAATTTCCAGAGATTAGCAGCTTAGAAAGGAAATCAGGAAAGTGTCTATCGGAGGATAAATCACAAACTATAGATAGAGCCTTTTTAATCTGAAGAAACCAATAATACTGGTAATATAGCTCAGTGGCATAAGTGCCTGCCTGGCAAGTGCAAGGTTATGAGTTCCATCCCTGGTACCAAAAATTTAAAAATTAAATCAAATCAAATACAAGCATTTTAAGGGAAGAAAGGAGTATTTAGAAATGAAATAGATTGAAGCCCATTGTGACTTTGGGATGTTTTTATGGTTTCAAAACTGTCTGGTGCTCTGATATAGCTTCCAATAATCTATATTCATAAAATTCCATACCCCTCTATAATGAAAGTGTTTTTATTCTTAAAGACCTAGAGCTACAAATTCATCGTATTCATTTCTTTTTTTCTCGGGTCCTTCCTACTCCATTCCATTCTCGGTACAGTTCTCCTAATCTAGTGAAGTTTCAGAAATACACAAGAACTGTGATATCTTACAGTGTAGCTGACATTGTCTCCCTTGGTTTAGAGGAAGACCATATGTTCGTGTCCTTTGATTTCCTCTTCACCCAGCACTTCTAAAGCTGGTCTTTGGAATTGATTGACAAGCACATATGATCTAAATGACAGCTATAAGAACCCTTAAGAATGTTCTTTTCCTTGGCTCTATCCCCAGCACACTATAATATATAGAATAGTAATCATTTTTGTCTAGGTGAGAGAGGGGCATAATGAACCAAATATCTAAATTAGTTAATCATGAAACCTAAAAAGAACAAATCATAGAAAGGAAGTAAGGGAACAGAAAGGCAATTCATAGCAAACTTGACTGAAAATCAGTAACTGCATTTTCCATGAGAGAATAATGTTCTTAAAATTAAAAGAGCTGGTTATTTCATTGTCAGGCTTCGCTCTGATTTCTTACTAACTATGAATATGTAACAGCCTTTTAAAATTTGAGTTAAAACGTGATTTTAACTGCTTTTCCAGTCACAACTGGATTAAGCTTTTCTTTTCATTTTCTAGTTTGGAGAGGATTCATCGACCTCCAGTATGACATCTGTGAACTTTGATGTTCCAGCAAATCAGAGTGATACCAGTGATTCAGTCACATCTTCCCCCGTAGCCCATTCTGTTCTCTGGATCTGGGGCCGGGACTCTGATGCATATAGGGTAAGTTTGTAGAGGTGAGGGATGAGTTTTGTCCCACCGACAAGACCTCATAAAGCAGTGGCTCCCAACCTCGGTGATGAAGATGGCACCCATCACGGCTGAGCTTCGTGCACCAAATATTTATCCGATGGAAGCCATCTGTTAGCTGGGAGATGAGTGAGACACGGGCTCTGCCCTAAGTTCTTCCCAACCAAGTGGGCAGAGAGAACTGCTGATTTCCTTTTATAGCTTTGCAATTCATAGCTTTGCAGCACGCTGTCAGGAGACAGTAGGATCATGAGTGCGAGGCTGCTCCAGGCTACATGGCCAGATCCTGTCTGGGCATAACTTCAGCTGAAATGGACCTGAATGTGTACGTATTTAGGCAGCATTTTTTTACTGCACTCCCGCTGGTGGCTGACTGGTGCTAAGAATGTCATAGACAAGTTCCTGATACCTTGGAGCTTACCTTCTAGTGGAAGATAACAGTGAACAAGTTGACAGACACACATCTAGCCTGCATGTGAAGAAATTACATGTTGACTGATAGCAATGCTATCAGTCTGAGGACAGAGGCCATGTTTTTTTATTCACCATTAAAATTCTAGAGTATGTTACTCTAACAAAATTTAAACAGCCACTTAGATTTAATTATATATAATATAAACTCAGGATATAAGTTTGGCAGGCCTCTGGTATAGTCGCATTTAGAAAAATGAACACTTTTATAAGTAAAAAAGCAACTGTTCACTTTGGTGTTGCAAAAAAAATAATTTTCTATGCCAATTTTATAAACATATGTGTGCTTTTCAGGTAGAAGTCACATACCAAACCCAAAACTGACTTAAGAAGGAAAATTGTCCTTATTTATGGAAAGTCCAGAAGTGGGGTTAAACTTCAGGTTCATTCGGCTCTGGCTCAGAATGTCATCGGTGACTCATCTCTTTCCTTTTTTCTTCACTGCTATCCACAAAATTGGTTTCATCAGAACATTTGTCTTCTTGATAGTCATAAGATGACAGCACAAGCAGGAACTTGAACATCCTTTTTGTTCCTGTATAACAGAGGAAAATAAGACTTGTTTTACTGTCCCAGAATCCCCAAGCACAACTGTCTCACTGGCTTGGGCAGTTTAGGTCTGCACAACCTTGAACCAGTCTGTGGTGAAGCAGGTGGAAAGACCTGCAGTAGAAGGAGCTGTAGAATCAGCCACAGTACATTTACCTTAAAATACTACGTTTCTGTTCCGTTATCCTACTGTACCCAAATGGGTATAGCAGTTAATTTAGCGTATTGAAATAGTCAATCTTAAGAAGTTTTATGAGCAGCTTTGTTTCCTTCCTAGGACAAACAGCATATCCTGTGGCCTAAAAGAGCAGACTGTGCAGAGAGCTACCCTAGAGTCCCTGCTGGCGGGGAATTGCCAACATACTTTCTGCCTCCGGAGAACAAAGGACTCAGGCAAGTGCTGATGGATTTGGCAAAGCACCTGATTCTGCATGATTGTCATCTGGCGGTTCTTTGAGAGCACCAGCCTTGGACTTGAAAGGTTAAGTCTTTATCTTGAACTCGCCCAAACTTTGAAAATGTGAATCTTGTTCCTTTTTCTTGTGCCAGGATCCACGAACTCAACAGTGATGATTATTCTTCAGAAGAAGAGGCCCAAACCCCTGACTGTTCCATAACTGACTTCAGAAAAAGCCACACTCTGTCCTACTTAGTCAAAGAATTAGAGGTCCGCATGGATCTGAAAGCCAAAATACCAGATGACCATGCACGAAAAGTAAGGCTCCCTCAGGCTGGTGTTTACTGCCGTCCATTCTGGGTGACTTCCCAAGCCGCTTTGATGGAACAAGAATCTGATAGAGCTCAGCTGTAGATCTTTACATTTATAAAACTCAAAGATAGAGTTAAATAATTGATATAATTAAAAAGTCAGTCATACTCATAAGAGGGTGCCAGCCAGGTCCTTGGGACTGCTGCTTGCATAGACCATCTGAGCAGTCTATTCCTCTACTCAGAGAGTGCCAAAGAGGAACAGCACAGAATGCTTTGCCTGACAGAGCCTATGTCTCGGAGGCTGTTCTGACCACTTCAGTTCAGCTGTGTATTCCCCAGCCCTCCAGAAGTTTATATAAATTAAGTTTGAAGGTTCCATTTCCCTGGCTTTATCAACCCCACTTTGGCCATATGCGGTCCTTAGGAATATATGTATCAATTGATAACCACTCTGTAAATAAGTTCTGTTTTCTTCATATCATGTACGGCTAAGAATATTTTATTACAGAATGTTGATCTATGCTAAATACTATGTCACAGCCTTATACTGAAGAAAAAGACATAAAAAGCCAGACCATCATGCCCACCTTTTATAAAAAAGTTCAAAACTATAAGCAGTTAATATTCCATAAATATTTACTAAGCCACAAAGTATCATTTTCCAGGTACTGTTTTGTGTATTTGGAATACAGAGATATATAGACTATGGTCTTTGTGTTAGAGTTGCTCACAGTTAACCTAAATACTGCAAGAACAAAAAGTAGATTAAGGGAAATTTGGTACTTTCCAGTGAGACAGGTTTTTATCGCATTGAGTATTACATATTTGTAATAATTTCTCACTAGGTTCTTGATGCTTAGGTTGACTTCACTGGGATAAGGTAAACTACCATGTATATGTGCAAGTGTTTGGGTATGGGTGTGTGTAGGTGTGTGCTTCTTTTAGTTAAAGGAAAGTGGCGCATACATGTGAATAGGTCAATAGCTATTGGTATGTCAACGGGCTCATGTTCTGTGTATCATAAATATTTATTCAAAGTCACTGTTCCTAAGCTATTCCTTTCCAAGTAGAGACTTAGTGTCCACAGAAATTCTTTCAAATGTCTTCCCTTTTATTTTCAGTTGAGTCAGTCTTCCTTTTGATGTTTTCAGATTTTGCTTTCCCGTATTAACAACTATACTATCCCAGAAGAAGAAATTGGCTCTTTCTTATTTCATGCTATTAATAAGGTAAGTCATCAACTTTGGACACCTTAATCTTACAGTGCTTAGTAATTGTAACTAAAAGTTAAAATGTACTTATTAAAGATCCTATTCAAATGCTGTATTTTCTAACTGACCGAAGTATTCTGACGTTTCCAGCCCAATGCTCCTGTTTGGCTCATACTCAATGAAGCTGGGCTCTACTGGAGAGCAGTGGGAAACAGCACTTTTGCCATTGCTTGTCTCCAGAGAGCTTTGAATCTGGCTCCGCTTCAATACCAGGACATTCCTCTTGTCAACTTAGCCAACCTTTTGATTCACTATGGCCTGCATCTTGATGCCACTAAGCTGCTACTTCAGGCTTTGGCCGTCAATAGCTCAGAGGTGAGGATGGATGGTTTCACTATATGGGGGACTCAGTTTTATAGTACAATTTCTATTTTTCCAGAAAGCCTATAAAAGTGTCATATTTTGTTTTCCAGAGCAGAATCTGCATGTTTCAAGAGTGAACATAAATACTTTTATCTTTTTAAATTTTAATAAGTAAAATTTATTAACTACTTAAACTTACATTTTAAAAAGAATAATACAACTGTAAAAATACGCTTCCTTTTTTTATGTCAGTTAGAAACACCTGGTTCTTACTTTATCCTACTCATCACTGCTTAATATTATACTATTTTACAGCTTTAATTTATAGGTATATTTATAACATCCAAGTCAGCGCACAGTTTCAAAGTTGTTTTGATAAGAATAAATAAGTAGATTAATATTCATGCCCTGAACCTCCCCCGGAGTCACTGGTTCTAATATCAAAGATAGCACTTTTGTTTCTTTCTCATACTTTAGCATATCTGAAATCAGAATGCAAAACTGTTGTAATAAAAATGAATTAAATTGATCTCACCTAATACCTAAAGGTTTATATGTTTTTATTCTTCAAAACCTTTGGAAAAGTACGTAAATTGTTTATGCTTATTTAAGATATTCCAAAACTAAAATTTTAAGTATAAAAACATAATATTACCTATTAAGGAGTTTCCTTGGAAATACATAAATTTGTAGCTGGATTTTAAGCAAAGTTTACAATCCCTATACACAAACAACTGAATTTTCAAGCAAAATTCTTATAATATTTGTTTAATAGGTCAAGATCCCAATAAGTACATCAGATACTTAAGTGACGCTTACCCTGTGCTACTTGCTGGCACAAGGACAGATTATATAAGTATATAGAATACACGATATGATGAATTAGGTGTCCAAATGGAGTGCTCAGTACAGCAGTTATTACCATGATACCCCTTACAGTTCACTTTCCACTGCTGTCAGCCAAGGCTCTCAGGCAGTATTTCTGTGAAGAAAGAAGAATTCCCTTAGAGAACTAAAATTTTAGCTGTTAAATACTGTAGTACTGCAACAAAAATACAAAGCCAAATTGGGATCAGGATGGGTTCATCAAGAGTATATCTTGAACATCACCTCCTTCCCACCTGTCAACTTTGGGAAGAACTAATTTGTAAGCATGTCTTCTATGAAAATATTTCATACTCTTGCAACTCTACTATACTAGTGACTTTTAAAGCTTACTTTTTTAATAAATTTATTGCTACATGGTTTTTAAAGCCATCAATTTAAATGTTTGTAGACAAAGTTAATGAATTAACATACCACAAGTTATTTTTTGGTGCTGACAGTGCTTAGCTATTACTAGTTAGGTGGTTTTCTGCAGGATTCTTTTTCTGTTTTCCAGATAATTTTCTTAGCTAAGATTACTAGCAGTAGGGTTGCTAACCAGTGAAAGAATGAATATTTTGTTACCTTTGTTACAAAATGCCAACCAGTGTACCAAGAATTTGGGCCAATACTTACTGTTATGATTCAGGCCTACAAATACTAATTTCACCTCTGTCTTCGTCTGAATTGGACAAATGAAGTAACTGCTAACTTTTTTTTTAAGCTAGGGACAGATACTATACCCAGCATTTTGCATTTAATTTTTATAGCAACCCTGTAAGATGGAATTCCTATTTGGTAGATGAGGGAACTAATAGGAAAATGAGGAGATTTACCAAGTCACTGAGCTTGGATTTGAACTCAGAGAAACTGGTCACAGAGCTCACACTCTAGTGATGTTACATTGTTGTCTCAGTTAACATTTATAAAACAAATTTGCTTGTTTAAAAATATTGCTTCTCGGGCCAGGGATTTAGCTTAGCAGCATAAGCGCCTGCCTCGCAAGCATGAGGTTCTGAGTTCAATCCCTGGTACCAAAAAATAAATAAATAAAAGTATTGCTTTTCTGTTAAAAGAAAAAAAATAAAAATATCACTTCTGTTACAGTTTTTTTACTTTTCAGTCATTTTTAAAGTAAAAATTTGTATATTCATTTTATTTACTTTATTAGAACTTGTTTTGTATGAAAGCTTTACACAGCTATTTTCTGTCATATGTTAAAAAGTATTTCCTTTTTTATCTTAGCTTTTAAAAATTGCTCTTAAACTGTTCAGTCTTAATTTTGACTTTATTATAAGGTATCTTCGTAAGAACTTGAAAAAAATACTAGTTTGTTTTTCTTTCTATAGTTTGACGTTGGTTGTATCTGTTAAATCTAAGTATATGCCAACTTTATGGTGCACTAGGTATTATCTGTCCAAGGAAAATGAACATAAAATACTCACCAAAAGATATATAGACTATTCCTAGTAGCTTTATACATATAAGCTAGAAGCAGCGCAAATGCCAGTGTGTTACAGAATGGATGAACACCAATGGTGTAGTCATACTTACAATATTACAAATCATTTAGGAAGAAAAGAATGAACTATCATATACACAAAATCATCAGTGAATTTTTGATTGAGTGAAAGAAGCTACAAAAGTTACACACATATAAGAGAACATGCCATGTAATCCCATTTATAACTCCAGGAACAAGGGAAGTTAATTTATGGTGATGGAAGTCACAACATAGCAACAGCACTTACTTTTGGGGTGGGGTTGGGTGAACTAAGGAACTTCCTGGTAAAACAGAACCGAAATTCTTAAAGTTTTATAACTTGAGCTGAGTAAATAGTTAACGTATGAGGGTATATTCAGATATAAAAATTAATTGAATTGTTTACTTAAAACTAGTATACTCATCTTTATAAGTATTTGTTTTAGTAAAAAGGTAAAAAATACATGTATATATGTTACATAGTTTATAATCAGCTGGTGTAAATAAAACACACCAGCAATAACCCTTACCAAGGTAATCTAAGGAAAGCCAAAAGACGCACTATACAGCTTTTGTCATGCTCAGGAAATACTCATTCTTGAACATTTTGCTGAATTTTTTTAATTTACTTTTTCTTCTTCTCCTTCTTCTTCTTTTTAGCCCCTGACTTTTTTGAGCCTGGGAAATGCCTACCTTGCTTTGAAGAATATCAGTGGGGCACTTGAAGCCTTCAGACAGGCTTTGAAATTAACTACCAAATGTCCAGAGTGTGAGAACAGCCTTAAGTTGATCCGCTGTATGCAGTTTTACCCATTTCTGTACAACATCAGCTCTTCTGTTTGCAGTGGTAAGGAGCCACTAAATGCTGGCAAAATCACAAGTTCAACTAGAGTTTCTGTTCTGATCAACAAAATACAGAAAATAATGCTCTCAGTTTTTCTCAAAGATTTTAGATAGTGCAATTCTGGAAACAAAGGACGTTAAGTCATTACTTAGTATAGATGCCCTAAACTTTTACAACTTAATTTTCCCCCGCAGCCCGAGTTAAGAAAATATATAGCATATACAGCTGGATCGATAGATTGCTTTCTTCCTCTTCCCCAAAATCTGTTTAATAACAACCAATATTCATGGTAGAGACTGTATTTTTTCTGTTCATGAAGCCCAAGAATGTAATACGAATTGAAGCAGTTCTGTGTACGCAGCCTCTGAAATGCAGCCCCTTCCCTTCCCATGCGGTGATTAGGATTCAGACCTTTACTGCACCTCTAAAACAGTCACTTGACGTGAAGAGGTAGCTGTCTCCCTGTGCCTCTCTCTGTGCTTACATGTGAAGTGTATGCTTCTCGGCAGAGTTGATATTTAAACCTTTTTCAAACTCATCAGTTAGAACCCTCTAAGAATCACCTGGTATTTTTTTGTTTAACCTTCACTATGTTTGACACTGCAGTGTACATAGTGTGAATCTTCAGTACCTGTCTGTTGCTACCTAAGTTTGCAATAAAGTAGGCGTTCAAGTTAGGTTGCAGTGTTTAAACAAAGCTGTCATTGCAGCTCCTTCACCTTGGATTTTTAACCAAGTAAGATAAAACCTGACGCCCACTTGTTCATGTGGCTTGACTAAAGGACACTGGTATTTACTAGTAATATAGGACCAGGAATTGATTTTCCTGATTCACTATACCAGACTGTCTTAGGATTTCAATGGACTGTTAAACAATAAATAAATGTAATGTGGTATTTCCATTTTTTAAAAGTATCAGAATCCAATTATTTAGTAAAAAAGAAAATCTCTCAGTGATATAATGTATAGCTCAGTTGTGGATTACCGTGGAGCACAGTAGGAATTGGATTTCTTGTATGCATACTGAAGGCCTAAACTGGCATTTTAGCAAGGCTGGACCATAAAATGCCTACTGCTAGCATGACATGGACTCATGTTTGAGGCCCAGCTCCGCCATCACTTTCTGGTCCCAGTAAAGAACATGAAAGACAATGAAGCCTGTATCCTGTACTTGCTGGGAGGGTTAAATAAGATTTTTATCAGATACTAGGTATCAGGTAAAAGTAACCCATCAGAAATTCATAGTAAATACAAAGCATACAGAGCTTTAACAGTGAACATTATGGGGTTGTCATCTGACTTAGTCTCAGAAAATACACTCTTTTAAATGTTGTAGGTCATCTATGAGTAGTCTTGTAACAGAATTTCACTCCTTCAAGGAGTTTCTGATGTTAGTAGAAACTCTTGCTTACTATCATCTCTCACATCTCTTGAAACTATGAGGGGAAAGAGTTTTAGATGTACACGGTGATCTTTTTTTCAATTCGAAAAATCTTAGCATTAGTGTCACATCTTTTGGTTTAGTACTTCAATTTCTCAAAATTTATTCTTTACTGGGTGGCAATACTAAGGATCAAAGCCAGAATTTTACAAGCAATAGGCAAGTACTCTGCCACTGAGCCCTCAGCTCTTCACATAAATTTAAGATCAAAAAAATTAAGTACTCTTGGAAAACTTTTTAAAGATAATTTTTCTAACCACCATTGTTATTCTTCAACAAATTTTCTATAAAGATCCTCCCCACAGCCCTTACAGGACTGGGGAGTGAACCCACTGGCGCGCTCCCGCTGTGTTCTTGGCACACTTCCCTTTGAATAGGATTTAATTCCTCACAGTCATGGTTAGCTTTATATCATCACCACAGTTTTAAGGATGCTGTGCAGAATTTAATAGATTGACTCTTTAATTGTCCATTCAAGTTATCTTTTTTTGTTTTGCTTTGCTTAGCTTTGCTCTGTTTTAACAGTGCTGGAATAGAACCCAGAATTTTGCACGTGCTAAACAATACCTCCAGGCCCTCAAGTTTTGATCAAGCATTTCATAGTTTGGTAGTTTAGAAATATATACTGTTTTTCACGTTGATAGGTTTGTTTTGTAACCTAATGTAATTTAACTTTCTTCAGTATTATTTTTCTTTTACTCAAAAAAGCAATGGTAGTTTGTATTTATCAGATTTTATTTGCTTGAGATGCTTATAGACATGCCACAAGCAACAATATTGATATTTATCTAATGTAATTAAATGTTAAACTCGAGATTTCTGAGCCCTCTGTCTTTTTCATTCACTGAGATGTTTGCTCACTTAAAAATGTTAGCCCAGGTCTTTAGACATTATGAATAGGAGTTCTATAGAGAATTCACTCTTTAATGTCTAAGTTTTCTTAAAATTTTGTGCAGGTTTTTATAATATATATTTGATAGCTTTTATATCTAGAGAAAAAATAATTTTCAAATCATGTATAGAAAACTTAAAATCTGTTTTGAATGTGCAGGTATATTAGCTTGTAGTCTCTGCATGGTGTTTTTATGCTTATAGCATCTATTTATGTAAACTTTTTTTTAATGTAGCTTGTTGCATTGTCTGTGCTTTTAGTCTGTGTTCCTCACCTTAAATTTCTGCATAGTTACACCTTACACTTTAAAGGAATTTTACATATTATTCAAATTTTGAAGAAAAACAAATCCTGCATTTTGCTGCCCTCCTGTGGACTGTTCCACATATGCTACCTGCTCAAAGACATTTGTTTATTACTTTCTCATAAGAGTTAGCAAAGATAGCTGCTTACTTTTGAGATGGTCCAGTGGACCCAGTTTTGGCAGCATTATAATATGCGATTGGGCCACCTCCAGTTAATTAAGTAAACAAAATTTAACTTTTGATTAATTCATTACAGGTTTCACAGTCCTGAGGTGGGGGTGTATACTGCAACAAAGCCAAATGTAACTCTATATGTATTAACTGTCTAGATTTTTATATAGTTTCTTTAAAAGAGCTGTCACTACTTGATTAGTAGCTAATTCTTTGATATATATCTATGTGATAGAGGGCAAAATAAGAAAATTTTTTAAATTTATGGATCTAAGAGCAAAAGTATAATTTTCTCCAGGCACAGAAGAGCTAAAACTAAAATCTGAGTCCTCTGCCTTCCAAGGCCAGTGCGGTTCCCGTGCATTAATTCTTTCATACCCCATATGTCATAAACTACCCCATGGCCATGATCGGAAGAATCTGTGTTTGTAGTTTCTTGGGACATTTTTTGAAAGTCATGTAGTCACTTTACTTTTTATGTTGTACCTCTGAAGAGGCACATACCTCCCTACATGAAGCATCGGTCTGATTAGACTCTGGGAGTGAACTATCACGAACACTAAAAGCATACCTGATTAGTCTCTTTTACTTTAGCATGGTACCTTGATCCTTTTTGAACCTTGCATCACTAGTTTCCTATTAGGGGAAGGATAGATTTGGATTTTACATAGAAAATCTGATGACTGTACTTGCATTATTAGTTCAATAGGCAATATTTTTCTTTTGAATTCCCAGCATTTAGCGTTTATGAACAAAACAAATACCTTTGTTTGCAGAATTATAATGGTGTTTAATAGAGTCTTGTCTTAGTTATTTTTTACTCGTCGCTGAGACAAAATACTTGATGCACCAAGTTGGGAAAGGAAAGGTTTATTTCTTACAGTTTTTGGAGGTTTCAGTCCATACTCAGTTGGCTCCAGGGCAGGGTGGCATGGTGGAGCTGCAGTTCTTGGCGGCTGCAAATAGCAAGGCAGAAACCAGCAAGAGAGAGAGAGACACACCTTTTTCTTGCCATTAAATCACACCCTGGCTCCACCCCTAGGCCAGTGTAGCACTCATACTCCCAATCCAAGCACTAGACAAGAACCAATCACAAGTACATAATGCAAACACATGAAGTCTGGGGTCACCGACATAAACCATGACAAGTCTCGTGACCAGTGGTTTAACACTTTAGGTACTAAAGGATACTACATATAAATACTTATTGGTTTTTAATTTTTAATGTGAATTTTTTTTGTCTTGCATGCAAAAACATTTTCCCTTGAGGGATGAGCCTGTTGGTTCTTGCCTAAGATATTTCCAGAACCATCCCATCTTATCATTATAAATTATTAACCTGGTCTGGGGATGTAGCCCAATAGTTCAGTGCTTGCCTAGCATATGCAAGATAGTGAGTTCCATCCTGCACTACCACAAGATAGAGACAGAGACTGATTGGCCTGGCCAAAAGATTTATTAAGAAAAATGAAATTTTATAGTGGATGTAATCCTTAAGCAACGAAGTATTTGTTTTCTTTCAACCAAAGGAAGCTGGCATATTTACTCATTCAACTAATAATATCTGTGCCAGATATTATTCTAGGAACTGGAAACCAATCAACTAACCACAAAACCCTCCATCTCTTATAAAGCATTATTCTAGTAAAAAAAAAAAAAAAAATGGAGAGTAAAGAAAGGGTGAACATAAATTAATTGGCATGTTACAAGAAAATGACTGTGAGGAAAAAAATTTCATCAGGAGGTATCACCACGGGAGGTTCTATTGAAAAAGTAACATGGTAGCAAAGACTTAAAGGAGGTTGGGTGCTCTGAGCCATACAGACATGCAGTAGAAGGAAGAGACTAGTTGCTGCAGAAACTCAGGTCAAGGAATGAACAGCAGGAAGCCCAGTGTGGTTGTAGTGCAAGTTTAAGAGATGATGGTAAGGTGGGGGTGGGGTACGGCCACATCTCTGCTGCCTGGCAGACCATTCTAAGAATTTGGGCTCTTTTTCTAAAAGTAAGGTGTATGGTCTGGAAGATTTTGAAGAGAAGAGTGATTTACATTTTAATAAGACTCCTCTTGTTCAGCTGAGCACAGGGTAAGGGAGGATGCAAGAAGGCCAGTTAGGACACAGTTGCAGACACGGTGTTGATGCTAAGAAATAATGAGGTCTGGGCCGGTGGCCCAGGAGGGAAGAGACTGAGAAGG